TTGTTGCTGGCTTAATTGCTAGGCACAGAAAAACAAATATCATAGATACATCACCAGACGTTGTTGTCAAAATGACTAGATACACAAAAAGATTTAATTTTTATGTTCTTAGATGTACTTTAATATTATTGAACCAAGAATAGATTTGATATCTGTTCAACTAAAAATTGAGTAATGAGTTATGACATCTCAATTACCGGTAGCCTTAAAGTACTAGCAGTATATTGTCATTAAAATTTGGTAGAAAGCCTTATAACTTGTTTATAGTTAGCAATGAGTGCTTAGCACTGGACTTTTCAGCACCTGTCTCTCTCTAATGGGCAATCTGGTCGATATCATTTTCATATGACTTTGTCCATTTTCCCATGGACCCTAATAAGTTTACATCATAAATTCTGATGGTATGTAAATACTATGTAATCAAATATGCATATTGTTTTTGATCATTTCTGATTTGTCATTGTAAAAGTGTACTATAACCCCTAATCTGGTACATGGTGAACAAAAATGTGTTCAAGGCCAATTTTTCAAGTTGGGTGCCTGGCACCCCTCCCCCAATGATTTTATGAGCCAAGAACCCTGGGTGCTTAGGCAGACGAGTATGTATATATATAATTAAAGTCTCAGACCAGCAGCATAATGAGTTTGTGTAATGAAAGCATAAAAACATGCCATGTAATGAATGGTGAATAATTTATCTTTTGTCACCAAAAAACAGCAATAAATCATTATTAGGTATTATAGACAAATTATAAATTTTTTTTTTCCTCATAATGTTGAGCAGCCACAGAAACCATGACAACACTGATAAAAGCAGAACAATGCAAGCAAGAATCCAAACCTATCCTGTTACTAAAACCATTTGATTATCTGCTATAGTTTTATCATTAACAGATTTGTATTAATATTTTCTAAAATTGTGCGCATTCTTCACATTTAAAATAGGAAAGAGATTAATAATTACTCGCAACAATGCATTGAGGTACCCCGGTAACTTAAATTTAACATTTTTAAAACTGAAATATTTATGCATAAGTATAATACTAAAACCCAATTTATTGGAGTACAGCTGTGTCACAAACTGTAAACCATGACACACACAAAAAAATGTGGAAATGTCAAATTCAAATAACATTTCATCCCAAAACGAGTGTTTTTGTTGTGATATCACATCAAACCCATTTACTAACTCCAGGCAATCACACTGTTTCACTTTATTTGGCTTTACTGTGATTATTTGAGTGAGATGACTTCCATGCATGAACTAGCATATGCTACAATGCATCGCATATACAGCAAGTATATATTACGCAAACAACATTATTAATTTTAAACTTGCTGAAGATTATATAGGATAAGAATACAGACTGATACCAAAGCCATTGGCGATTCTTGTCTCAGTTTAAATATTCTTAAAAATCATACTGACCTGTTCGGCGGTGGGACACCCTATAATTTGTTGATCTTCTTCAGAGTAGTTTTCTAGCGATATCGTTTCCAGTTCTTCAAATGCTTGCTGTACATTGTTCTAAAAGGTAAAAACAAGACAATTATAAGTCAATATCATACATGTTTAATGAGATCATTTCACAGTCAACATGAATGAATGAATCATACCCTGTAACAGAAAATGTAATATACAAAAACCCGGAGCTTCCTCAGATGTATAACACAGACAATGATGACAGATGAAGAAAAATCATGCAAACAGTGAAACACTATAGACACTAACAGTCGCATCAGGGTTGTAACCCTGTAAAATCCACCCCTAATAGAATAAACTTTACCTTGATTGGTTTGAATAAGATATACTCTGTGTCCTTATTGGCAAGGTATAGAGACATACTCTTGAATATCGATGGCAGTTTGGTTTTAACTTGTTTGAAAGATGTCGTTACAATGTTATTAACTTTGTCTGGAGAAAAATATGGACACAATTTTCAAATCAATAATCATATTCATCAAAGCAAACCCACTAAAGGATGCATGATGTATGATAATATGAGGCTATTCCGAGGATACTGCAAAGTATGCACAAAGACAGTACAGCAGGAGTATCGAACGACGCGCAGAAGAGGTCGATACAAACACGTACTGTGCAGTATCCTTGTAATAACCTTATTATTATACATCTTTTCCTTCCAGGAATACATCATGGGTATGTCAAAATCCAAAACGTTTAGAGCAGATTTAACAAACTTCTTTGTGTGGGGTCTGGTCAAACCCTGGGGGCAGTCATGTTTGTTTTTCATTATTAGAGGAGGCTTATGTGCGTAATTGTTCCTTATTGGAATTTGTGTTTACTAATATGGTAGGATGTAAATATCCAGTGCAATACCGAAAGATTACGGCACGCTGTAACACATGGCGTTACAGTGACAGATGTATCGCAGAATTTCAATTTAATGCATAACAAATTTTTGGAGAAAGATTCTGCAAACTGATTCACTTACTTGGAGTAGCGAATGGTTGGGATTTCAAGGAAACTTTTGCAGCATCTCCTTGTTTTGCTAGATCAGTAACAACATTTGCCTGAAAATGAGAAAAACATGTTACATGCATCAGTAAAAATATTTTAAAACAAAGTTGAACACTGGTGACCTTGCCCTTTGTTAATATAATATTATTCTCTTTATCATAGTTTGTTTCAATATAAATATGTATTGTCATAATTAATTTTGAATATAAACAAGTTTTGGGGTTGAAACTGCAGTGGCAAAAGTCTACCGAATGTCCTTGATTGATGTAAATATCTGACAAAAACATTGGTACCATTGGTACTTTATTCAAAGTAATTCAGATATTTTAGTATAAAAACAAATGCCTCATCTCAGAAAAAAAGTGCTGCAGTTAGATGTGAATGAAATTGTAAAACATGCAAGATAACAGAAAATCTTAGCTAGTTTTTGCCCAAATATTTTGTACAAAAATTAATGATTTAGTGAGACAAATAAGAACTGCCTTATTATATTCATTGTGTGACTACTGTATTATTTGAAAAGTAAAAAAAAAATGCCCTTCAGGAACAACTATCATGTTGCACGCTCTGCTTTGAAAGTAAATCAACTCAAATAGTTAGTTGGTGTCCAGTAGAGAGAAAAGTCAACAGTACTGTTGCCTCTTGAGAATCTACATCTTCAAACACTGCAATCTTTGTTTCTGAAGTGTGTTTTTAAATTTGTATTATAAAAACTCTATAATTCTGTTCTAATAGCTGAAAAAATTTCTGTGAATTTTGATTTTCAAAATTTATATACTTCAACAAAAAAATGTTTCGTCAGATGAACTGTTTGTCAAATACAGAATACATATTTTTTAGTACAATTAAATGCGGATGTAACATTTTGCTTTTTATGTATTTTTGCATTGTTTTTGTTTTGATAACTTTGGACTAAACAGACATAAATTTCTATTGGCTTCAGATCTTAATCAACAGTTTGGCACCCACAGGATTATTCATAGGAGTGTTTATATCAATTATCCGAAATCTTGTTTTCTGAAAAGATTTTATTGGTAGTAGGTTTGCAAATGTGTATCAGACTCAAAAATCTCTCCATGAGTTAGCATTGAAACCCAGTCTAGTATTCCCATGGGATTTGGGAGATACATTACCAATGATATTATTACAAGATAAATGATTCACTTCATTGAACACATACAACAATGCATATTTCCACTGAGATCAGTGACTTTTAAATATATATTACCAGTAATCAGTCAAGAAGAAACAGTCAAAATGTTTATCAGATATTTACACACTGGACATCTATATCTGTTATTCCTACTTAGGGAAGATTTTATTATGTGACCAAGTTTGATGAAGTTTAGAATATAATTTAGAAGAGTTTTTGTGCACACATTAACAATTATGAAGGTGACAGACATTTTTTCCCTTAATATACCTTTCCCTTTCATTTTTGGTGATACGGGCAAGGTAACAAAGGATTTCATAAATTGAGTTCCAACGCTGCAGAGAGGGTAAAAA